TCCCCCTGCGTTCCGGTCCAGTGCGATCGCAGAATGCGGTGGGGCATGGCTGCGGTGCCATTATTTTCAATGCACAGCCACGCCCCCTCCCATCCCAGAATGCCCCAAAATGCAGTGCGTTCCAGCTACCACTCTGGAACGCACTGTAAATGCACTCAGTGGCGTCGCCAGGCTGGGTGTCACCCGGGGTCGCACATGCGCAGTGGTCTTTTTGACGCCTGCTGCCGGCCATCTTGGTGATGGACGCCGACAGAGAGAGGAGGGGACGTTCACCCGGCAGGATGCGGTATGCCACCGGGTCCCCCCCGCTCTCCTGACACTGTCGGGCTCTCAGTCCAAGAACGAGTGCCCGACATTTCATAAGGGGTGACACCAAAATGACCGTCAGTCCAATGGTGGCACCCAGGTGCGGGCCACACCCCCCGCACCCTCCTTGTGACGTGCCCTGCATGCACTATTTTTTGCGGGCAGGGGGTGTCTGGAATTTAATTGGCATGAATGGCACTGCCGCGCCCCCTTTCACCCCAGAATGCAAGGAGACTTTGTGTATGTGATCACTTGAGTCAATGGCATTATTATTTTTCTTTTTGTGGTTTTTTTTGGTGGGGGGTATGTTGGGGGGGGGGGGGGGGCCCTTACAAAATTTTGCTATGGGGCCCTGTGATATGTGGTTACGCCCCTGGCCACAGCCATGCTCCTTTGCAGCTTCCCAGGCACCGAGGACTACAGCTGTTATGTGAGGAATGTAAGTGGCAGTTTCCATGTTGCGCTTGGATTCATTAGGGTGTGCCCAGACCTAGGGTGCTTGCTATTTTCTCTTGTTGCTATGTTTGTTACACATTCATGAAAGAGGCTTCTGCTGCCCTCGGTTTCTGTACTGCCTCCTGCTTTGTCCTCACTTTAATTGTGTATTGTGGCATGTGATGTATGCATCTGAATCAATTAGACATCTTTCCTGTTTAACAGGGCTTAGTGGATTGAATATATTTTGTAGTCCTGTAACCCAGATTTGTTCATCTTGTCCTCCAGATACTAAACTCTACACTATTGAAAGTCAGATATTTTGTGACATTTTGAAATAAAGCATCGTGCACAAGTTGCACTGTTTTGGGAGCAGTCACATTATTCCCTTCCTTCCCCATGAAGATCTGATACTTCCATAACATCACAGTCGAGGCTGCGGGTGCAGCAGAGGCTTAGGTACAGGTGCATTAAAGACTAGGCTGTTGGTGCAAAGGAGACTTGGCTGCAGGTGCAGCAGGGACTTGGCTGCGGGTGCAGAGGGGCTGCGGGTGCAAGAGGGAATTAGTAGCAGGTAGCGGGCACAGGAGTGAAGCTGAGGCATACACAGACATCAGACCCTCTGGGGAGCATATAGATTCCTTACTCAAGCGGAGACTGTATATCCCACTCGAGTTTAAAAGATAAATCCATTGCACAGTCGTATCACGTGATCTTGCTGCGACACTCCGGGTAAAGCCCAGAAGTGTCCAAAGTCGCACAGTATTGAGGAAGCATCGCTGGATCAAAGGAGGAAACTGTGACACTGTCGTAGTCAATTTTTTTAGGTAATTTCTGTATAAAAGTAAATTCATAAGATTAAGGCAACAATAATTGTGATTTAGAACAAGAGCACTTTAATAGCATAACTATTTCTGAGATGAAATAACGATTCATGAGAAATTGGACTTTCAACAGATAAAGTGGACCTGACTTAAAAAAATTAAGATCTGCTATGTTCTAGGAAAAGTTAGAGATATTATCTGTGCCTAAGCAACACCCTGAAAATGCACCTTTTGGCTGGAACTCTTCTGGAAACACAGCAGTGAACTTCCGGATATGTGAGTGTGCCTAATCATTTCTGTGCTTACAGCCTCATAGCTTTTTATCTGCACACTGAAATTTTAGGGTGTTGCCTCTGACTGATAGGGGTTGATTTACTAACCTTATAAACACACCATGAACATGTATACACCTCTGTAGTGTGTTCCCTCCCAGCATGATCTATGGGTGGAATCTAAACACCTTTGTAGTGTGTACACACCCAGCAGGTGTGTTGTGCAAAGCACTGCCCTGAATTGCAAGGTGATCTTGTGTAAATTAGCTCTATGTTGTGTTGCTTGCGTTGATGAATGCAGGAATGTAAATGCATGAGCTAACCATTTTTGTCTAAACTGTGAAGCAGCATTATATATGCATCATGTGCATGATTTTTCCATATATGGCATTAGTGGAAATATGCTTTTAGAGACTTTTTGGTTGATAAATACGTTTTGCTGTGTAAAAATCACACGCACCTAGTGCGTGCGTGTGTTTAAGTTAGTAAATCACCCCCATAGTCTCAGTAGATTTAGGTCTCGTTCACACCTAGGCGTATTGCATATGTGCGTCTGTCGCGCGTTTTTTAACCGCGATTCGCGGTAAAAAAAAGTCGCACGACAAACGCGCGTTTCCGAAGGCTACTTGGCTGTATCCCAATGGAAACGCGCAACAAAACGGCCCAAAGTTGTACATGTACCTTTTCAGGCATGGGCCATTTTGTAGCGCGTTGGGGACGGGCGGAAATACGCCAAGGTGGGAACGAGACCATTGAATACAATGGGATTTATATTTTTGAGCATTTTGTAGAGCGTTCGTCGAGCATAGAACGCGCTACAAAACGTTCAGGTGTGAACGAGGGCTTAGAGTCAGATTTGGTTATTTCAGTTCTGTGTGGCTCACTGTTCTCCTTGTTGAAGGCTTCTAAAATAATGTGACAACAAATATTCCACACCTAAACAATATTTCTGTTTGTAATTGTTATCATATCCTATCCATCATATCATATATGCATTTTAGTGAAATTGTGTTTTACCTTACTAAAACCAGCTCAACAGTCAATTTTCAGAACTGTACTACATTTTTCATCGGCATTGATATGGTATAAATATGATGCTACATTTGTTTATCTATTGAGTAAAGTCTTTTGCTTTTTACAAGAATCCGGATCTTTGTTTTGCTCAATAAGAAAGTTATGTACATGCAAATATTTATCAATGATATTTTGGCATAAGTGAGTTATGCCCTTTTTCCATTCTGTTAACTCCGACTGCGAAACACATCTCCTTTTCCTGCTGCTAAAGCACTAGATCATTTTGTTAAGTCTTAATGAACATTGTTAAGCCTTTGTGCAGAATCAATTATGAAGAAAAAGGAATTGTATTATTAATTATAAAAAACAATCTGGATAACATACAAAAGTGCTGAGCAGCTGGCTTTCTTGTGGTTAAGCTGGTGTTGGCTGTAGACTTTGTGGTTAGTGAGTGGTTTAACCATAGGTTAGATGTTTAAAGAGTGGTATTTGCTTCAGCGTCTCTAGCTGTAGTTTCTGTGGTTAAAGACTGATAGAAGCTACAAACCTATGGTTGTAAAACAACAGTCTTCACTAGCTGGGGCCTTTATAATGGCTCCTGGGCACCTTAGGTCATGTTGTTCAAGCATAATTACTTTTCCCCTGTAAATAGTTATCCCTTATACACACTGTACAGAATAAAGTAGCATTTCTTGCCTTCACATCCTGTTTTCGGTTAGATTATCTGCTCTTTGAGGCTTTAGTAGGTAAAAGAGAACAATCTTACTATTTTTCTTTATACCTCGCGACAGTTTATTTATGTTTTGACAACCTACTGTCCTATGAATGATATTTTGCTATTAAGAAAGCCAGAACCTGGCAAATTCAATAAAACTACCTTTATTGCAAACACAACAAAAATATTGAAGTCTATACCCCCTTACATTAGAAGGTCAAATGGACAATCTGAGTTTGTTGTATTGTATTGCCTATAAGGGGACCCATGTTTTATTAGGGCCAGGTTACTTTTAGTTGGGTCTCTGTTCACAATCTTGTATTTCCAAAGTGTGTTTCCATTACACTATTGCCAGTTAGTACGTCTATGCTCATAGCTGGAAGTCTGGAAAATGTGATCTATTTGTGGAAAAATTTGAGAAATATTGATGAACAAAGTGGGACTAGGGGTGTAGTCTTTGGTGTATGTTAAAATGTCAGTAAACCATAAAAAAGTAAAACCTTCCTAATAATATAATGTCATTATGTCCTTTGTTTCTTTTTTTTTAACTTTCCCTCTAAATATTTTACTTTTTGATCCTGGAAATCACTCATAGTTTCTTATTCTTGATGGCAGTGCTCATGGAGCCTTTGAAGTATTGCCACCACAGCGTGCATGCTCCACTTCTTCTTTTCAGTAAGACCTGTCTACTCGCGGCTTACTGATGATCCTTCTAGCTGCATACATCAGCACAGACTAGATCAGGGGTGGGGCTAAGCCAGAGCATGTCACTTTTCCTGTTTACATAACTTCAGCTTTTTAAGCCCCCTGGCCATGCAGAGCAAAGTGGAGCTATCAGTCAAGCATTTAATCCACCTCGCAGGTGTTGCTGCCTCTGTGGTGGCCAACTTTAACCACTCTTAACACCTGAGCTAAGTTTGCCTCGGACTACTGTTTTGCATGACTTGCTGCAAAGTTAACATGTTGCAGTCTGATTATTAGGGGAAAAGGAGACTAAGGAAATGCTTCCTCTTGCCTACAGGAGACTGGCAACATTCTCCAAGATTCCTCTTTTCAGTTTGGGCAAAGTCGCTTGACTGGAACTCAAGTACTGATTTTTGATGATTCATTACACTTTTGCTGTATATCAATATGTCAGGGTCATTTAAGATCCTTGGCAGTCAGGGTCATGCTGTGTTAGTACTTGCCCCAACCACTGGAGTAAACATCTTGGCTTTTATGGATGAACCTGTGATTATACCGACACCCGCAGTGAAGAGGCATTTCTAAGCAGAGATCTAGAGTGATGCACTATGGGTTTGTTAACAGTTATTTTATGTCACCGGTTTAGATGTAAGTAGTGATGAGACAAAATCTCCTTTAAAGCATAGGGGGCATTTGTTGAGCTTTAAATTTTGCATGCTAGTTTAACAAGAAGTTTTTTTTCGGTTTCAGAACCAAAGACTGGATTTGATTTTGCTTTCAAGATGCTGGATACTGATGGCAATAAACAGGTGGAAAAGAGGGAGTTTTTCAAGGTAAGCATTTATTTTTATTCCAATACCACACTGTTATAACTGAGCCCCTGGGATCCTTCACTGACCTGGCTACAGCTATTAGAGTTCAGCTTTCAGTGATCTAAATGTATTAAACTTAAAATTAGATTGGTTATTATGTAGTGTGGCACTGTGAACATTGCCATGGATTTTGTACAGCTCTGTGTTTTAGGCCCCTTTCACACAAGCGCCTTCAGTTCCGATCAGAAGGGGATCCTTCTAAGGATGTGACATCCTTGTCCATCCAGTTTTCCCTCAATCTTGCAATGGAGATAAAAACTGAAATTACCAGAGCCATGTTGATCTATGGGGAATCGAATGTAAAAAGCTGTCACTAACTGAATGGGAGAGTACTCTTACTA